AGAGAGAGAGAGAGAGAGAGAGAGAGAGAGAGAGAGAGAGAGAGAATCAGAGAGTCTTGCTGGCTGGGCTGGCAGGGCAGAAAGCCCCAGGATCCCTGTGTCTTATTCCTCAGAGTGGGATTACAAGGATGGGTTACCATGCCTGGCTGTGGTGGGTTTTTTGTTTTTGTTTTTACATTGGTTCTAGAGATCAAATTTAGGGAAGCATTGACCTGACTGGGCTTTCTCCCAGCACAGCCCCCTCTCTGCCCCTTGTCTTCTCTCTGTGATTGGTGTGATGTAGGGAGCATTCAGAGACAGTCTGCCATGGCTGTTTGTGTTCAGCCAAGGGCTCGATGTGGTCTTAAGCATCAAGGCTTCCATCCCTCTGGGCTCATCCCTGTCTCTGGAATTGGCCTCAGTGGCAGCAAGTGTGAGGATTGTCCGGATGGCTCCTCCCTCTACCCAGACAGGACGTCACTGTCACTTTGTCTCTGCCAATGGGGCAGGAGGGCCCAGCAGATAATGCTCAGAACTATGCATGGTGATCTAGACAGCAGAAAAGCACCCTCAGCAACCATCTGAGGAGATAAAGCTCCCGAGGGAACGAGAGGCTTCAGCCCATCTCTACTCATGTTAATCTGAGGATTGCCGCCAGGGACCATGTGAATCCCTGGGGCTGCACAAGTCCCAAGGCTGCTGTTTTAGAGTTTATTTTCTCACACCTCTGGAAGCCGCAGCTTCAGTCAGCTCCACTGGGCACAGCAAGGTGCAGCAGGCGTGTTCCTGTGGGAGAGGCCGCTTCCTTGCTCTTGCAGGCTAGTCCTTGGCTTCGTCTGCCTCCCTCTCCTCTCTGCTCCACCAGCACATTGCTGTCCCTGTCCCTGTCCCCGTATGTCTCTGGCTCCATCCTAGATTTCTTTCCCGCCCTTACCACACCTGTCGTCGGCTTCCACGTAGCTTGGCTACCCTGGGATGAGCTCATCTCACGATGCTAATCACATCTGCACACACCAGGGAGCAGGGTGGGACAGATGTTCTGTGAGCCGCCACTCCGCCCCACCACTGGGACCCTGGGCTGCAGCATCTCTGGAGGTCTGTGTCAGAATTCTGTCTGTGGCTTTGCTGACCCTTCAGTTCTACAACACACCCTGGCCTATGACCTGTCTATGGTCTTTGGTTTTTATATTGTTTCCTACAGTTAAAAGTCGAAATGAAAACTATTCATTTCAGAGTAGTTTGGGCTTTTCCCTTTTTCTTTAGGGGATGTATGAATTCTGATCTAAAGTTGGCAGGAAAAGAAATGATGAAGTCAATAGTTTTTATTTTTACTTTTGAGATAGAGTTGCCCTGCATTGCCAAGGCTGTCCCTAAACTCCTTGCCTCACAGAGTCTCCCTGTCTCTGCCTCCTGGGTAGCTGGGGCTGCAGGGCTGCACCGTGGTATCAGCCAACCTTTAATCCTAACAAAAAAAAAGTCACAGGCAGGGGAAGTGTGAGGAGTGACTGCGCTTGCTCTGTGCACGTGCTCGGCCGTGAATGGAGAGGACCGTGGTTGGCCGAAGCAGGAGCCTCTGGGCTGGCTTCAGGAGACAGGTGGATGTGTGGGGGTGGGCTGCCCCAAGCTCCCAGTTACTGTGTCGGGGCTTCAGACGTAATCAGTACCTCACAAGTCATCTCTCACTGTTAAAGACAAAAGCGAGGACAAGTGGGTGTTTATCTAACTGCCAGATACTCCACACGGAAGAGATTTATATTGATCGAGAACCAAACAGCCACAGAGAACCGTGAAATTGGAAAATTAGATGTCAGGATCACCTAATTTGAGAAATGACGCCAGAAGGCGTTGCACCAATTGCATGGACACTTGGATTCCTGTTTTAGTTCTGATCCCGCCTTGAGTGCTGTGTTTACAGAAGCCGTCCAGCCGCTGCTGAGTTTAGGTGTTTTATTGGCGAGTGCTCTTACTCCTTGAGTGGTGATTGTAGTTTTGTGAGGAGTGGATCTGTCACCAATGCCAACTGACGCCCTGCACCTACCCAGCACCTTCCCAAATCTGTCCTGCCCATGCAGGGGCAGGGTGGAGGCCGGGGCAGGGTGGAGGCCGGGCCAGGTGGAAGCCGGGGCAGGGTGGAGGCCTGGGCAGGGTGGAGGCCCGGGCAGGGTGGAAGCCGGGGCAGGGTGGAAGCAGGCTCATCCCAGTGTGCAGAGTCTGATGCTAAAGTTTCCCACTTTATAGGTTCTTTGTTTGTACTTCAGGGTTTTCTCTCACCCAGTGGCCAGGAACCCAGACCCCATTCACACTGACAGGGATGTGAACATGGCCGTACCTAGAGCCACCATCTGAAGTCTGACTCTGGGGAAGGAAGGACCAGCTCTGCCCTGCTGCTCTGCATACTTTCAATTCCAGTCGCATAGCAAGACAGCAGTCAAGACTCCTTCCTGGTTTGGAGTTTTCTCTCACGGACATAAAGAGCGCATGGCAGGACAGAGTCTCATCACAGGAACAAGGGCTGGTCACTTTGTTGTTCTGATTGTTGGCCCTTGGACTCGGCCGTGGTTTAGTCTCGCACAGGCCTTTTTGTGAGTGTGTGGCCTCTGCCTGGGACCCTGCTGTGCTCATGTCTGGCAGTGACAGTAGCATGGACACCCTTGTTTCTAGTCAGATGAGCAGGATTTATCAGGACCTTGGCCACAGCTAGAACCCTACTGTCCTTGCTGGCTCTTGCCAAAGCTTATGCCATCTTGTCCCTTGGTGTCCTTTTCTTGTGGATGGTGCTTCAAGTCTCTATCCCAGGCAGCTGTGGATTTCTGACCTCATCAAGAGGAGGAGGCCCCCTTCCAGGTTACCAGGTTTATGTCCTCCACACCGCACAGAATTGTGCTGACTGCCTGGGCCTGTGCCCTCAGGTACCCTTGTCTGCACCTGAGTGACCTATACCTGCTGCCGAGGGCGGTGAGCCATCTCATCTGGTGTATTCCTTCATCCACGTGTCCGGCTGCTCAGCTACCCATGAAGAGTGCCAGGAAGTGGGCAGGCTGGGTTCAGACCCCTTACTGCCTACTGCTATCAGGGTGTTGCGTTGGAGCAGGTGGTGGCTGAGACTGCGTCCCAGTGAGAAGCGGCCTGATGGCTCCTTCCCTGGGCCTTCTAGACTAGGGTCATGGGTCACCTTGTTCTGGTGTGACAGTTTCCTGTGGACCTCAGAGAACTTACCTTGCCGGGATCTGCCTGTCAGGGCTACTACTCAAAGTGGTCACTCTTTGATGGGCCCAGTGGCATTTCTGTACCCCACAAAGACCTGGAGCTCAGCTGTAATCTTACTTAAAAAAACAAAAAACAAAACAAAACAAAAAAACAGATGAAAGTGACATCTATAGACACATTGCTGAGCTGGACTCCACATCTGAATTTGTAGAGACAACTTTCTGTAAATGACAGGTGGCTGTGAGCCTGGGTTTCCTCAACCTCGTCCTTGTCATCCGGCTACTCGCTGAGAAGGTGAAGGAGTAATGCATAAAACTGAGCTGGATTGCTTTCCCAACTCCATAGACATTCTCCAGTGTACTGTACTAGCCTTCTATTCAGTCTTCGATGAAGATGTGTACCGGAAACCCTGAGTTGATCATGCACCTCCACCCCCTCATACGCATACATATACATACACTTATACACACACACACACACACACACACACACACACACACACACACCTATACCCCCCATATACATGCTCACATATAAAATACATACTTAGACTCTCCCCACATATACACCTTCCATAAACCCACACATATATAAGTATACAGACCCTCACATATATACATGTACACATGCACATCTCCCTCACACAGATATTCACACAGGTAGACACACACACACACACACACACACACACACACACACACGCACGCACATTATTTTGCAAAGCTTCTCTTCAGCAGTGCAGGTGCCATTCTTTAATTTTTCTGATGCATTTGAGGAAAACTCAGCAAGTTTCCAAGGTTTACAGGTCTGCAGAAAGGTCCCTGAGGAGTGGAGGCGTCTTAGAGTGGCCCTTGCTGCCTTGAGCCACAGGAGGAAGCTGGTGGGGTCCTAAGACTGGTGGGTCTCAGGACAGGTTGTTCACACCGTGGATGCTGCATCCTCTGCCTCGCTCCCTTCTTGGGTGGAGCGGGTGGCCCTGGCCCCCGCTGCTCTGAGCTCCTACAGAGGTTCTGTGCGACCACATCACTGATGTCCCACCCAGATGGCTGCCGCGCTCACTCCATGACTGTGTGCTTCCATTCCAGGCGGGCTCGTCCACCTCTCTATCCAACTTGGCATGCATGCACATGGTTCGCTGGGCTGTTTGGAACCCCGAGCTGGAGGCAGCCTCAGGAAAAGTGACGCTGCCTCTTCAGGGTGGGATCCAGCACAATCCCTCACACTGTCTGGTCTATAAGGTGCCTTCAGCTAGCATGAGCTCTGAGGAGGTAAGTACTTCATAGGTGTGATTCTCACATGCTTCTAGCAAGTTCATTTGTGTGTGTGTGTGTGTGTGTGTGTGTGTGTGTGTGTGTGTGAGAGAGAGAGAGAGAGAGAGAGAGAGATAGAGATAGATAGATAGATAGATAGATTCGGGTGCATTCACCCATGAGAATGCATGTGGGGGCCAGCAGTTGACATTGGACTTTTTTCAGTATTCTTCCTCATCCTATTTTTGGACACAGAATCTCACTGAAGCTGGAGCTTGCTGATTCAAGCTAGCATGCTTGGATAGTGAGCCCCTGGGATCCACCTGTCCCCCCTCTTCCCCGAAGTATTGGGTTATAGACATGGACTGCCACATTTAGCTTCATCTGAGTTCCTAGGATTGAACTCAGCTCTTCACGTTTACTCAGAAAGCACTTTATCCACTGAGTCTACGTTTATTTATTTTAAAACTCCAATTTGACTAGTATGTTTCTGGTATTTCGTGAACAAACCTCTCCTGTGTCCTAGGCACGCCTTTGGTGCTTGCTGAGTTGTGGTTAGGCCGGCTAGCACCCTTGTTCACATCTCCACCTCTGGATGCCTTGCTGGACTGTTTTGCACACTTGGCGAGGTGTTTCTCCTTGGCTTGGGTCCATGTTTGGTGCCTCAGAGGAGGACTTCCTGTGTTTTTTGCCAGGGGGGTGAATGCATGAGAGCTAGGCAGGGGTTTGGCTTCGGTCCGCATCTGGGTGTTACACTCACCACATACCCACTCCGGACTTTGCCCCTCTCAGCTGGATGTAGGGTGGCAGGTCCACTGCAGATTCTCAGATTGAAAAAGCTGCTTGGCTGTGACATTCTCTGAGCTCCAACCTGGAAAGCAAGTAAGGTCAGGACATGTGTCACCCTGGCTGCCCTGCCCAGGTGGGGGTCTTGGAAGGCAAGTGACCCAGGCACCATGGACAGGTTTGGAACTATGGCTTGGCTCTGGCCAATGTCTGGGGTCCATCCTGGCCCTCTAGGGTGTGACAGGGCACCCCACCCCCACCCCGCTCTTCCTTGTGGTGCCTAGGATGTCCCCGTACCTGCCATTTCACAGTCTGTGCTGACTCCAGCAACAGCTATTATTATTATTATTATTATTATTATTATTATTATTATTATTATTATTTCCAGTGTTGTTATTTACAATCTGGTTGATGCTTTGGGGACCTGCGTCAGGGAACAGCTGATCGTGCGGTTTCCTTGTTAAGAGTTTGTCTCTCATTATGGAGCCATATTATGAAATGACAAGTTCACCTGAGAAAGAGGAAGTGAGTGTAAATAAAGGCTCCATGCATCACATGGAAGAGCGGGTCGGGGAGGGTGCCCTGTCATACCCTAGAGGGCCAGGAGGGACCCAGACTTTTTTTTTTTTTTTTTTTTTTCCGAGACAGGGTTTCTCTGTGTAGCTTTGCACCTTTCCTGGAACTCACTTTGTAGCCAGGCTGGCCTCGAACTCACAGAGATCCACCTGGCTCTGCCTCCCAATTGCTGGGATTAAGGGCTCGCGCCACCACCGCCCGGCAGACCCAGACATTTTTAATCACCCCCTTCCTCCCCTCCTTCTTGGTGTAGTTTCCATGTGGTTTTATGTCCCTTTGTGTGTGTCTCTCTGTCTCTGTCTCTGTGTGTCTCTGTCTGTCTGTCTGTCTGGTGTAAATGTTTGTCCCGTTTACGACTTGTCTTGCCACCTCATTGCTTTCCCTTTCTGAGTGTGTGAACTGTATCAGGCACACACATTTTGAAAATTTGACTTGCTTGGTGACACACATGTCAAACATTTCCATTTTCCATGAAGAACATCACATCTGAGTTCCATTTCTCAACCCCAGAACTGCTGACACTTCTGCCAGGTAACTTTTTTGGGGACCGTCAGCTCTAGAGGGTATTTGGCCGCATCCCCGTCTTCTGCCACTAGATGTCAGTAGCATCTCCAGTTGTGGCAGCCAAAGTGTCTACAGACCTTGCTGCGGGCTGTTGTTGAGGACCAGCACCCTGAGCAGGCAGAGTGGGTGAGAGCGGTGAGTTGGGATGGTACAGGCCCCGTCTCCACCCCTGTGCCGGGAAAGCGGCCCGGCCTCTTCACGTTCCTTCCTGCGGCTCGAACACTGGCCAAATGAGACCAGCTGGGATCCAGGTGCGCGCACCTGTGCCCTCTCCCTTGTTCAGTGACTGCCTTTTGAATACGCACATGGAGACTTTGAAGAATGTCCCTGAGCCCATGGCAGCTGCCAGTCAAGGAAAGTAGCAACGCTGGAATGCATCGTTTCTGGGAAGCACATTTTAGGATTCGTCCTGCCAACCGTTATTTCATAGTTTGTGTGAAGTGAGGTAACATCTCATGACTGTGTTTCCTGCCTAGCTCTTGTCCTTTTCTTGTCTTTCTCCTTTGGGTGAATAATCCTTTAAAAGTATTTATACCTCCAGAAGCTTTCAGTTCCTAGTTATGATTTATAGTTATTTACCTTTGATTTTGAAATAGTATGCTCCCTATGCCATTAGTTTATCAACTGTAGACATCATACACTGAGTTCCTGAACTGATGGATGAGGACATTAGCCATGTTCACACTCCTGTCCTCTTTATAAATCACCCGGCCTCAGATGCGATGCACACAGCAGGCCTGGTTGGGAACTCGAAGGGTGCCCAGGAACTGCACAGCACTCACGGGGAGGGGCTCAGAAGCAGATGTTGTGAGCTTAGCCCAAGCTGCAATGTGGATCCGACCTCAAGCAGCAGGCCAAGGAGTCTGAGACCTGAGCTGTGTGTATGGGTTGGACATTGTCTAGTCCTGGGACTGCCCACTGGAGGATCTTAAGGGGACTGTGCAAGCTTTGAGAGGAGTGCTCGTGTGAACACCACTGCCCATAGGAACTGTGATCAGAAGCTGGGACCCGAGCCCTGGTCCCACTGACACACAATATCAACTTTCTTTCTTGGAGGACTGCAAAGCAGCCATAGATTCTTAATGAAAATCTTTGAAATGAGTGCAATATAATCTAAACGATTTTGTATACCAAGAGCCGAGGTAGAGACAAGATGTTTGGTAGATAGCCACACTGAGGTGGTACAAAGGTTGGTTATCAAAGATCTTAAAACAGCGCCGTGGAAATGCCCAGGCACAGAGGTGCTGACACCAGTGAATAGAGAGAGAAGATACAGAGAGGAGCAAGATGGAAATTTCAGAACTGAAAAACAGCCAAGTTAAGATCTTCACAAGATGTGCTGTGTAGCTGGGTGGATGACTGAAGAGCCTGTGAACCTGAAGGTCAGTCTGCAGAACTAGGACCTCCTGAGCTGCAGGAGTTGATAGGCAGCGGCCGGCTGGGCTCTGCTGCGGACCAGTGGGACAGTGCCAGAGTCCAGCACCTGTGTCAGCACCCCTTCCCAGGAGACGGGAGAGTGCCTGGTGCAGGAAACACCTCTGCAGAATAGTGACAGGAAACCCCGGGCAAGAGACACGAACCCAGAGATAAATGGGAAGTAACCTCAGCCAGACGCTGTAAACACTGAGAACTAAAAGCGAAGGAAAAGAGTTGAGAACAGAAGTAGAAAAGTGGTTCCTTGCCTACAGAGAAATGGTGACGAGGATGCTTGTGGGTTCCTGTCAGAAGCCATGGGGGCCAATGGGGAAAACAAAAGATTTTGGAACCCAGAATTCTGTACCCATCAAGAGTCACCCGAAGCACAGGCATTACCTTCCCCAGTGAACTGAAGGGAATTCAGGAGCAGCCTGAGGTTCTCCAGACAGAAGGACACGTGGAAGATGGGGATGAAGAACAGCCGGAATGGGGTTGAGTGGGCTTCATGGGAGGTTGGGGCAGAAGCTGCGCAGAATCCTGTGAGGTCTTCAAGGTGTGTAGATCCTGTGGAATGAGACAGTGATGTCAGGAGTCAGGATCTAGGTGAACTAGATCCTGTAGGAGTCAGGATTTAGGTGAGGGCATCTGCATTCCATCCTCCAGAGGGCGTGAGATGTCAGAGATGGATTTTTATTGAATTCGTTTAGTTACTTGAGAAAGGGTCTCACCATGTAACCCACACTGGCCTCAAACTGGTGGTTCCTCCTCTCAGCCTCCCAAGTGCTGGGTTGCAAGCATGTGCCCCACCCCTGGTAGAATTTACATTTAAAACCTCAAGAGAAATCATTAACAATAAGATACCACATTAATTACAATTCATTTTGTTGTAACCAAAATACCAGACAGAAACCAGGGAGGAAAGGCTTATTGTGGCTCACAGCCTCAGAGGGACTAAGTGTGTCCTGGGAGGGAAGCCAGGTGGGCACATGGAGGTGGGACTGTTTAGTCCAGACTTCTTACTTAGGAGGAGAGGAGGTAGAGGGAGCCAGCCAGAGTCGGGTGCATGTGATTGGCAAAGGTGGCCCCGAGTGACCCATTGGGAGCAGCTGGGCCCCATCCAGTAGAGGTCCACACGCCTTCAAAATAGCTCTGAACACGAGCCTATGGGAGACATTTCAGATTCAAACAATAACAGTTTAAACCCAGTAGGTGCTGGGGACTGAACCTAGGTCCTCTGCAAGAGCAGCCAGTGCTCTTAACCACTGAGCCATCTCTCTAGTTCCTATGGCTCAGATTTTTTTAAATTTTTATTTTAATTTTTACAAACTGTAGTGTCTACAGAGTCACTTTCTAG